GTGGGGCGGCCGGAAGCGGGGGGCGGGGCTTCGTCATGTGCCCCGCCCCCCGTACCTCACCCGGGGGAACTGCGATCCCCCGCGATCCCCCCCGAAATGACCTCTGATTGGGATCCCACTGCGGAGTTTTCCCGTTAGGCAAAAAAAAGTACACCCGCTTTTAGCTTACAAGCATCAGAGCCTATGAGAAAGGGGAAAGCATTTGGAAACCCTTCTGAAAGCGGAAACAACGAGATCAGGATGGGAAACGGAAGCAGGGGCTTGGGGTGGGAGCCTTACCTTCAGGTCAGTGACTCGAGCAAAGACCAGATTGGTGAGCGCTTCCGCCACGGCTAACCGGGCGCCGGCGGCCGGGTCAATGAGCCCCTTGATTGGCTGCTCCCCCAGGGCCGTGGCCCCTCCCACGATCTCAAAGGGCGAGAGAGCCACCACGGCGACATCTGCCAGAGGGGTGTGCAGGGGACCCACGCACTGTTGCTGGGCCACCAGCCCCGTCACCGACCGATCCACCTGTGCCGGGGGAGGAAGAGAGAGTAGGAAAAACCCAGGCTGGGGAAAGTTACGGCGTGCGAAATCTCGCCAGCCGTTTTGAGAGAGAACCCGGAGAGCCGCACCTGTCAAGCCCATCTTAAAAACAAAAACAAGTGTCCCGGGGTACCTTATTGGTCAGGTAACGTTTACTAGCCACAGAAGGTAGCCTCAGGACTCGCTGGAGGGCGTCGGCCACACTCAGGTCACGGGGCAGGTCCAGAGGTCGAAGGGCTCGTTTCACCCGTTTCAGAACGAACTCCTGGCGGGGAGGGATTCAACAACAGTCAGTGCATCATTACAAGCTAAGCCGGGTTATTGGTGGTGGAACGTACCATCGAGTTGCAGCCAACCCAGAAGAGTTTTCAAGGCAAGAGATGTTCAGAGGTGGCTTTGCCACTGCCTGTCTCTGAGTAGCAACCCTGGACGTCCTTGGGGGTCTCCCTTCCGAGAATTAACCAGAGCTGACCTGCTTAGTTTCCAAGATCTAATGGAATCGAGCTAGCTTGGGCCTTCCAGGGCAAGAGACAAACAGAGGTGGCTTTGCCATTGCCAGTTTGGTGCTGTGGTTAAGTGCGTGGACTCTAATCTGGGAGAACGGGGTTTGATTCCCCACTCCTCCACTTGCACCTGGCTGGATGACCTTGGGCAAGCCATAGTTCTAACAAGAGCTGTCCTTGAAAGGGCAGTTCTTGAAAGAGCTCTCTCAGCCCCACCTACCTCACAGTGTGTCTGTTGTGGGGAGGGGAAGGGAAAGGAGATTGTAAGCCGCTCTGAGACTCCGAGTGAAGGGCGGGGTATAAATCCAATCTCTTCTTCTTCTTCTTCTTCTCTTAAGATGGTCCGAAAGAGTGGGTAATTTTAGAAGTGGCACAAAAACTGTCTGCTTTAAGAAGAACTTCTTTATTATTTACTATTATTTATTAAATTATTGGATTATTATTATTTTTAAAAAACAAAAGTTTTTTATTTCAAATCGTTACCACGACGTACAAACAGGACATACAAAATTACACTGTATACAATGATGTCAGGAGACAAAACACAAGATGAAGTAATTAAAAACTGTATGGTTAAGTGGGCACAAGATTTGGGTCGTAATGCTGATCTAGACCAATGGTCTCATGTAGGAGGAAAAATGAACGTAAAGATTACCAAAGCGATATCATATAAGGAAAATATTCATTACTGGATTATTTTAAGTTAGTTTTAAACTGAGATTTGTATATTATTTTGTTGTAAGCCACCCTGAGCCCGTTTCCAGGGAAGGGCGGCCTAGTAAATCTAATTTAATAAATAAATAAAATTCTTATGGGGGTGGGTGGGTGATAACTTACCTTGCGCGGCATCTTCCCCAGGACCCATTCAAGTTTCAGGTTCACAGGGGTGGGCCTTCCACCCGCCTGCCCTTCCTTCAGCTCTGCGTCACTCGCCGGAACCTTCGTGTCGTCAACCAGCAAGATCTGGCGAGGACCCACCCACAGAGAGGAGTCACGTCAACAGACTGCCTCCTCCCTGAACTCTTCTGCCTTTCCCAATCAGTTCCTCCCCCCCCCCCCCCCCCGCCCCCCCCCCCCCCCGTGCACACACACACACCCTTGGCCTCCATGCCCCCACATCCTACTGGATTCTGACCCACCCATCCCCAGCGTTCTGGGCCCAGCCACTCCCACAAAGTCTCATGAGTTGAAGAAAGACCCTCATTGTCCAAGCAAGATACAACTCCTATATCAAGAGATAGTGTGGTGCAGTGGTTACAGTGTTGGAGCAGGACCTGGGAAACCCAGGTTCAAATCCCTTCTCTGCCACAAAAGCTTGTTGGGTGATCTTGGGCCAGTCACGCACTCTCAGCCTAGCCTACCTCACAAGGTTGGTGTGAGGAGAAAATGTAGGAGAGGAGAAGGATGAAGGCTGTTTAGTCCCCATTGGGGAGAAAGGTGCAATATAAATAAAGTAAATAAGTAAATACATAGATATTTACCCACGTATCCATCCTCCCATCCACACAGCTCAATCTATAGTTTATGCGTTCATTATACCAAAAAAAAAATTAGGTACTTGGTCATCAAAGACCCTTAAGAAATTTAGTAACACTCTGGCTTTCCATTTCCCCTTTGATATTTGAAGGTGAACTACATAGCTATGGAAACCTGTAATCCGCCTCGCTTGTCTGGAAAATGCTTCACAGCTCTTCTCTCCTTCCTCTACCTCTGTGAGAGAACAGTGTGCATTTCCCCCTAAGTTGAGTTAGTGTGAGCTAGCTCACACATTTTTAGCCTCCGGCTCACACATTTTTGTCTCAGCTCAGGAAGGCTGGCTCCAGAGCAAACTAACCTATGCAGTAGCCAAATTGTTTGCTCACACCTTTAATGACAGTAGCTCACAAAGTAGAATTTCTGCTCACAAGACTCCACAGCTTAGAGGGAACATTGATCACAGCCAATGCTCCCTGCAAGCTTTGGAGTCTTCTGAGCAAACATTCTACTTTGTGAGCTACTGTCATTAAAGCTGTGAGCGGGCGATTTGGCTGCTGCATGAATTAGTTTACTCTGGAGCCATCCTTCCTGTGCGGAGACGAAAATGTGTGAGCCGGAGGCTAAACAACTGTGAGCTAGCTCACACCGACTCAGCTTAGAGGGAACACTGGTCACAGCAATTCCAGGATACAAGAGCAATTCCGTAGGTATGTAGCATAAGTGCCCTCAGGTCACCGCCAACTTACGGCAACCCCAGCAAGGGGTTTTCAAGGCAAGTGAAAAGCAAAGGTGGTTGGCCATTGCCTTCCTCTGCTCAGTCTTCCTTGGTGGCCTCCCATCCAAGTACCGACAGGGCTTAATTCCCAAGATCGGGCTGTACCATGCCTCCTTTCTTTCATTTTCTGGATAGCCCTGACCAAATCAGGACAGTCTCCAACTTGGATTTGGCTTGTTTCTGTCACTGATGCATTCCTGACCCCACACATTTGCCAATCCCCAGTTCTGGTGACCCGGCAGCATCTTACCCGTCCGTCACCTGTAATCCGGCCTACAAAGTCAACAGGGCACCTCTCGCGGCGGGCCAATCGGCGCAGGAAAGTAGCATCACGAGGGCGGAGTAGGAGGGCATTGGACTCTTGGTACTCGGCCCCCCAGATCTCCAGGACACTCAGTGTGGGGTCTCCGAGCTGGATGAGGAAGAGAGAGAAAGGCGGCTGAGTTCTAGAGCGTTCACAGGGAGTAGGACCGTACAGGGTTTAGCAATAGTAAAAGGTAAAGGTTCCCTTGCTCGAAAGCCAGTCGAGTCCGTTTCCAAACCGAAGAGCCAGCGCTGTCCGAAGACGTTTCCGTGGTCATGTGGCCGGCATGACTAAACACCAAGGCGCACGGAACGCTGTTACCTTCCCCCCTGAAGTGGTACCTATTTATCTACTTGCAATTTCTTGCTTTCGAACTGCTAGGTCGGCAGGAGCTGGAACTAGAGACGGGAGCTCACTCCGTCGTGTGGCACACTTGGGTCTCGAACCGCTGAACGACCGACCTTCCACAGCCTGCAGTTCAGCGTCTAGTACTAAGGGGCAAACACTTGAAAAGAATGTTTATTTATATGGATTTTCTCTGGCTTTCTGCCTTTGGTTTCCAAGCGACTATTCCTAGTTCTGGGTCGGCAGGAAAGGAGATAGGGTGCAGAACAAAAGAATGCATCTCCAGGGGTGTCAGAAGACAAGACGAGTCTACAAGTTGTACGGAGGGGGGGATGCGGTACAGACCTGGAAGCGGCTTGCGTAGATAGTGGCCCCGGCCGGCTCACTCAGTTCTTTCAGTACATTCCCTAAACAGAGAGGAAGAATAATTTGTCGGTCTCCAAAATCATTAGAGAATAAAACCTTGGTATTGCCCTCCTATGCTGTTACCAACAGAACACCTTTCTCCCCCAACCATCCTTCAAAAAACGAATTCTTATCCATCCAAGCAGAGAGAACCATTTCCTAATCTGCCCCCAATGAGAGGGAGAGGGAGATACTGACAGCCATTTTGTTTCCTGGCCCTCTCCTGAGGGCCAAAGAATACAGCCACCACCTCAGGACACCATAGATTCCAGGGAATGAAACCACTCACTCACTCACTAATGAATTCATCCATGTATACTCCACCTTTCTCCGCAACTGGGACCCAAAGCAGTTTCGATCATTCTTCTCTCTTCCATTTTATCCTCACAACAGCCCTGTGAGGTAGGTTAGGCTGAGACTGTGTGACTGGCGCAATGTCACCCAGCAAGCTTCCATGGCAGAGTGGGGATTTGAACCCGGTTCTAGCATATCCTAGTCTGACAGCCTGACACTCCAGCCTCTACACTGTGCTAACAACAACAACGAAATTTATATCCCACCTTTCTGCCCACATCAGGGCCACCAAGGCACTGATTAAAAACGTACATAATACAAGGTAAAAAGGTAAAGGTAAAGGTTCCTTTGCTCGAAAGCCAGTCGAGTCCGACTCTAGGGTTGCGGTGCTCATCTCCGTTTCAAAGCCGAAGAGCCAGCGCTGTCCAAAGACGTTTCCATGGTCCTGTGGCCGGCATGACTAAACACCAAGGTGCACGGAACGCTGTTACCTTCCCACCGAAGTGGTACCTATTTATCTACTTGCAATTTCTTGCTTTTGAACTGCTAGGTTGGCAGGAGCTGGAACTAGAGACGGGAGGTCACTCCATCATGCGGCAACCCGGGTCTCGAACTGCTGAACTACTGACCTTCCACAGCCTGCAGTTCAGCGTCTGAACCACTTGAGCCACCGCAGCTCAATACAATAATACAAACAGGCCTTAAAACCCAAAAACATTAAAAGTCAATTTAAAAAAACCATTAGAACGATTAAAACCAAGCTAAAATACATATACAAAAACATAAAAACAACAAATTATAACATAGGGTAGGAAAGAAGGGTCACTGAGGAAACACCAGACAAGGACATTGGACAATGAGCTACGGCTGTTAGTTATTGTAAAGCTTTCCTTACATACATGTACAAAGCATCGCAGACCATTTTTACTTCATGTTATCCTCACTCCAGGTCTACTAGGCTGAGGGGAAGGAATCTCTGTGAGCTTCATTGTCGAGTGGGTAATTTGAACCTGGGCCTGTGAGCATAACTACCCAAAACTCTACCAACTGCGCCAAACTCTGGCCCTGACATGTCTACATCACTTAAACAGCTACTCTTTGCGCCCCACAAGTTTTCCTTCACCACAGTGACGCCATTAGAGAGCAAGAGAAATCCCTGGAAAGCCAAGATGGCTGCCACCCAACCCTCCAATGGGAGCTCTCTGCCCAGCAGCTCTAACCGAGCTCCTGAGAAACCAAGCAGAGAGCAGTACAGTACAGTGGCTTGAATGGTGGACAGACGGGGGAAACCTCAGTCACAAAGGTGAGCCAGTGTTCCCTCTAAGTTGAGTTCGCGTGAGCTAGCTCAGTTTTTTAGCCTCCAGCTCAGACATTTTCATCTTCGCTCAGGAAGGAGGGCTCCAGAGCAAACGAATTCAGGCAGTGGCCATATTGCTCACTCACAACTTTAATGGCAGTAGCTCACACAGTAGAATCTTTGCTCACAAGACTCCACAGCTTAGATAAATTAACTATGGAAATGAGAGGCACAAAGAAATGGACATTTCAAAAAACTCGGAAGAGATTCTATGATTGGTATAATGTGAATGGAGTTAAAGATTAAGCTGATATGGCAAAAATAATATTTGATTATGTAGTAATATAATATAATGGAATTAGAGAATATTTACAAATATTAAGAGAATAATGAAGTGATGACTTAGGTGTAATAACAAACTGTAACAGGTCTCTTGGCTTATAAGTTGTTTGTTGTAGTTGTTCATGTCTGTGTTTAGGAGTATAAGAAAATAATAAAAGTGTACCTTCGGGTACTTAAAAAAAAAAAAAGGCTCTGCAGTTTAGAGGGAACGTTGAAGGTGACCATGGGTCTGTTAGACTCCTTCGCCCTAACCTTGAAAACCACCCTGGGCTCGATGAAGGAAAGGTAGAACGGTTCCCTGTAGTCATATCAATATTCTTTTGCAGCCTCCACCCCTCTTCCGGGTTCTCACCATTGCCTCCAGCGCCCTGGTCGTGCAAGCTGCAGATGGGGTTGTCCTCGCCGCTTTCCACACAACCACGCAGCACCCGGTTCATCTTCTGTTCCATCTCAGCATCTCCACGCTGCACAGCCCCAAAATCTAGCTCGCTGGCATTATCGCCCTGCACCTGTCATACAAGGAACATTGGCAGGTGGGAAGGAATTCGGAGGGAGATGACAGAGCTTTGTCAACGACAGACCAGGAGAGGGGGGGGGAAAGCCTGCCAAACAGGAAGATTTCTGCTCCCTGCCCAGACTGCCAGAAGCAAACAAAGAGTTTTTGCCATACAACAAGGGTCCCCCACCTTTGTGAGCCTGAGGGCACCTTTGGAATTCTGATACAGCACGGTGGGCGCAGCCATAAAATGGCTGCCTCAGGAGGTGCAGCCGGCCACAAAATGGCTGCCACAGTGCAGATCCTTGTGCTGTGGAGGCAGCTGCTACCAAAGCAGTATTTTAAAAAATCTGCACAGACAATACAATCTCCAATGGCCAATAGCATTGCCGGTCCCCAGTTGGGGGGCAGGGGATCCCCCAGTGTGGAGACTCTCCCCCAGTTCAGGGCTATCAGAAACTGTGGGGAATCACTCCCCCAAACAGGCAAGAAACTGAAAGTAAACATGATGTGCCTACATCACCTGGACGTAACATAGACACATCGGTGACACTGGGGGATGTGGGGGGGTGACACTGTTTTTCCAGCAAAACTCTATGGTTTGAAGCTAATTCTACCATACTTCTGCCCACAAACCAGAGCATCCCCCCCCCCGTGCCTATGTCACCCAGAAGTGAAGTAGGCACGTTGTGTTCATTTCCTGCTTTTATTTCTTCCCTCCCAGTAAGTGCACCCCTCATCCCCTGCCCCCTCAGCCAAGGGACCTGGCAAACCTACTGGCCAACCAGAAGCCTTGCAGGGCAAAAGACCCATGAGGTAGCCCACCCACTTTCTAAAAACAGTTGGCAGGCACCAGGAAAGGTGTTGGCAGAAACCATGGCGCTCACAGGGAGGCCCCTGCAATAGTATGCAGAAGAAGAAGAGGAGGAGGAGGAGATTGGATTTATACCCCGCCCTTCACTCGGAGTCTCAGAGCAGCTTACAATCTCCTTTCCCTTCCCCTCCCCACAACAGACACCCTGTGAGGTAGGCAGGGCTGAGAGAGCTCTGACAGAACTGTCCTAGAGAGAACAGCTGACAGAACTATGGCTTGACCAAGGTCATCCAGCAGCTGCAAGTGCAGGAGTGGGGAATCGAACCTGGTTCTCCTGGGTTAGAGTCTGTGGACTTAACCACTACACCAAACTGGCTCTCAGAGGACATGCCACCTTCACCTCCAGAGACAAATGGAGGGCACCCCCCCACACACCTTACCTGGATGGAGGAAGCCGCTCCTCCCCCAACGCCGATTCGATAGACGGGGCCTCCAACCTTCACGACATCCATACCTGGAGTTTCAATACAATACTAAGACTGTAATCATCTGATGTAAAATCCAGTACTGGGCACCAAATTTAGCATCCTGAAACTTACCATTTCTCTTTTTAAAAACAAAACCGAGTTCCTAGCCCTTACGGCTCCAAACATAAGCTTCAAGGCACACGGGCGATGTGCACTGAAGCTGAGGGAAGGGGGAATCGTTACATCGAGAGTGGGGGTCTTTAGAAGTTTCTACAGGCCTTTCTCCATATCCAGGAAAACAGGCTTACAAGCTAAGCAAAACTGCTAATGCTGTTGCATGCAAAACAGAATCTTCAATTAGCTGTGCAGATGTTACCTAGTTACCGAAACAATTGTGTGCACAGAGTGGCATACACGTAAAAAAAATGACTTATTTAAAATAAAAAAGGCACTTTGGTTTTAGGCAACACCTGCCTGTTTCATAGTCAACACCATCTGGTTATGAAAGTGTTCCTTTCTAAAGGAACAAAGTGTTCCAAAGAAGTACTCCTCTCTCAAACACGGGGATGGGGGGGTGGGGGGTTACTCTTCTATGAAGAGGCATTCCCACACGTACAAGACAGAAGAGGAATAACCTAAAATAGAGCTGGCCAAACTAGAGTTTTTAAAGGGTTTTTTTTAGTAAGTTTTTTTTAAAAAGGCCTGTTGCCTACATAATAAGGAGGGGACACCTTCTTAGACACTTAAAGAGTTTTTAATTAACTTGTCTATGTGATTCATATGCATAACACCATATGTCACATTAGATGCCTTTGACATGCCATTTGGACATGATTGATAAAAACAAACGTTCACAAAGATTGCAGCATTTCTGAGCATAAAACTCTGGTTACTGAAGACAAAAATATGCCACACTGCATAAAACTTCCATTTGTGTTTGCTAGCTGTGGGTATATGGCATTCCTTCAGTTTTTACCAGGGCTTTTTTGGTAGAAAAAGTCCAGCAGGAACTCATTAGCATACTAAGCCACACCCAGCAGCTGAAACACATTAGCATATTAGGCCACACCCCTGATTGCACCACTCATTAGCATATTAGGCTGCATTCCCATGTTACCAGAAGTGTGGTCATCCAGCCACACCCACCTTTTGCTTCTTATTCTGTTTACCTTGTTTGTTGTCAAAACCAGGGCTTTTTTTGTTACAGGAACTCCTTTGCATGTTAGGCCACACCCCCCTAATGTAGCCAATTCTAATGAGTTTCTACTGCTGGGTGTGGCCTGTTATGCTAATGAGTTCCTGCTGGGTGTGGCCAACTTGGGAGCCAGCTGGAACTCCGTTCCTATGTATTCCAGCCCAAAAATAGCCCTGGTTTTTACTTGCTTATTAGTTTTACAGCACAATCCTGTACACGCCTACGCAGAAAAGTAAGTCCCACTCCCAAGTAATGTGCATAGGACTGCACCCGCCTATCTGTCTGGCGTAAACTATCATTATTCACCCCCAAGCCTCTGAGAAATAGCAAAATAATAGTTGTAAGAGCCATTTACCAGGCTGTGGGATTTCCTTGCGCACGTGCGTGTCCTCCATGGCCCCGATGCCCCCGCTGAACATGATGGGCTTGATCCACTCATACCGCTCACCATCCACCAGACGCTGCCCAAATGAGCGTGCAAAGCCTACGTGGGAAAAGCTGCATTAGTGGTGTCAACCAGTGTTCCCTCTAAGCTGAGTTAGTGTGAGCTAGCTCACAGTTTTTTAGCCTCCGGCTCACACATTTTTGTCTCAGCTCAGGAAGGAGGGCTCCAGAGCAGACTAATTTATGCAGAAGCCGAATCGCCCGCTCCCAGCTTTAATGCCGGTAGCTCACAAAGTAGAAGTTTTGCTCACAAGACTCCACAGCTTAGAGGGAACATTGGTGTCAACATCTTGTGTTTCACTCCCCAGTGTTTCTCCCGCCATTCTGCCTTTGGTCCCCATGTTGCCCCAGCTGTTTTTCATAATTTCTACTTTTTCAAAGGGGGGGGGAATAGCAATTGAGTCTTGGGACCTTCATCACATGCCTTCTCTTGAATCAGACCCTTGGTCTATCAAGATCAGTATCGCCTACTCTGGCTGGCAGCTGCTTGGTACCATCATCATACGATGCTCTCTTTTACTGAATCTAGCTCTTGATCTATCATGGTCAGTATTATCTACTCTGGCTGGCAGTTGATATCCAGGGTCTCCAGCCAGTTTGGTGCAGCGGTGAGGAGCGCAGGCTCTAGTTTGGGAGAACCGGGTTTGATCCTCCATGCCTCCACATGCAGCTGCTGGTATGACCTTGGGTCAGTCACAAGTTCTTTCAGAGCTGTTCTCTCAGGAGCAGTCCTCGAAAGGGCTCTCTCAGCCCCACCTACTTCACAGGGTGTCTGTTGTGGGGAGGGGAAGGAGACTGTAAGCTGCTCTGTGATTCCTTCGGGTAGTGAATGTTGGGGTATAAATCCAATCTCTTCTTCTTAAGTCAAGGTCTTGGGACCATCTTCACATGAAGCTCCCTTCTGAACCAGAGTACTACTGAATCTTGGTCTATCACGGTAGGTATTGTCTACTCTGACTGGCAGCTGCTCTCTGGGTCTTAAGCAGAGGTTTTGAGACCATGAAGCTCCCTTGTACTGAATCAGATTCTTGGTCTATCGAGGTCAATATTGTCTACTCTGACTTGACAGTTGCTCTCCAGGGTCTTAAGTAGCGATCTTAGCCATCGCTTACTACCTGGTCATAAGAACATCCTAAGAACATAAGAGACGCCAATGTTGGATCAGGCCAAAGGCCCATCCAGTCCAACAGTGGCCAGAAATACCAGTGCCAGTGGGGCCAGGACATTAGAAGCCCTCCCACTTGACACGCCCCAAGCACCAAGAAGACAGAGCATCACTTGCCCCAGAGCCCCTAGCTATACCTTGTGGCTAATAGCCACTGATGGACCTCTGCTCCATATGCCTATCTAATTCCCTTTTGAAGCTGTCCATGCTTGTTTTAACTGGAGGTGTCAGGGATTGAACCTAGCCCATTTGGAAGGCAAAGCAGATGCGGCACCATTGAACCACAACCCAGTTACCCAAATGACACATTCTCACCTGCCAGCACAGGCTCCCCAAATTTGTTCCCGTAATCTGAGGCACCGTCACTAGCGCCGATGGCCACTTCCACAGGCCGAGCAAAGTTTCCTGGGTATGGCAGGGATGGATCCTCCCAAGGTAATGAGTACCCTGCAGCCAAGAATGGAGAAACATCACAGGATGGAGACCCACCAGGAGACTGGAGATCCAAAATTTACTTTCTGTCTGGGACCTGGGAACGGAGGCATCATCTCTGTGTTTCCACTCAATCTCAAAAAAAATGATGACATGACACAGGTAAGGCTGGGTGCACCCCTCCTACCTTCTGATAGGGGATATAAGGACCTAGAGATCTCTGTTCTGTCTTGTATCTGATGAAGGGAGCTTTGGCTCTCGAAGGCTTAGACCGTAGAAGATATGGGATATGATGGGATATGAGCTGTAGGTCTTGAGATCTATCTAAGGATCTTGAGACATCCCAGTTTTCAATTTTAAAAAGTTCCCAGTCCATAAGAGGGTGGGGGGGGGGGAAAGGAGCCAGTACGTCTCAGGAAAGCGGAGCATGACTTACAAACAGGAGACAGTGGGACTTGAATTCTGCACACACATCCTTCCAGAAGCAATACCAAAAACATATTTAATAGCAGAATCTAGTTTTCTCCTTAAACATACAAGTGGGACTATCAGCTTTGGGCCACAGTATGGATATACAGCTAGATTCTAGTCCAGTAGCGTCTTATAGACTGACAAGTCTTCAACGGTCTAAGCTTTCGAGAGCCAAAGCTCCCTTCATCAGATACAAGACAGAACAGAGATCTCCGGGTCCTTATATCCCCTATCAGAAGGTAGGAGGGGTGCAGCAAGTATGAATACGGATGTTGAGCCTTATTAGAGAAAGGTGTGCTACAGAGGTCTTTGGTAAATAGGGAAGGAGGTGGTCCCCAAGCACTTGGCGATTTGAAACACCCTTCCAGCCCGTGTTCTTCGAGACGTCGGTCCCAAGGCACTTCCCCTAACCTGGAATGTTGAGGTTTCCAAAGCTGTATCCAGCCGTGCCGGCAATAACGTGGGCCCCGCGACCCGTGCACTGGACGTCCCGGATTCGCCCACCAGTCCCGGTGGTCGCCCCACTGAAGGGAGCAACCCCTGCAAGGAGAAATTTTAAAAATGCATTTACTGACTTCATCTCTATCCTGCCTTTCTTCTCCACAGAGACCCAAAGGGGCTGTCCTCCACTAGAGATGTAAAATTTCCGGAAATTTGGAAGCTCGGGAAAAAAACCTGGGTTTTTTCCAGTTTTTTTCGGGGGGAAATGGAAATTTTCAGAAAAATTGAAAAAAATGCTACATTAGCACTTCTTTTGTCTTGTCTAGATTGAAAGTCATTCTGTTACTTTAGGAACATAAAATATGACTATGGACATTTTTACTTGGCATGAAATTATCACAACTAGCAAATTAAAAATATAGTGTATCCAAACAGTTATTACAAACAGAATACCCGCCCACATGCAAAAACAAAACTGAAACCTTTTTCTTTTCTCGTGACAATCGCACCTCCTAAAGGAAGAAATGCATCTTGTTCTTGCATTGGAGAGTTCAGTTTGTAACCTAGGACTTGCTTGTCCTCAGTGCACAGAAATTAGATCAATCTGATACCATATATATATATTAGAAATGATTTCGAAAATATTTGAACACCTTGTCTTAAAATATTTTATTCATCATGTTAAAATAAAACGTTCCATAATCGATTTCTTTTCTTTTCTTTTTTCAATTTTTCGGAAAAAAACAAAAAAAGCTTCAGGGAAATAAATGGGTCCGAATTTTTCCGGTTTTTTTCCGGGCCTTCACATCTCTATCCTCCACTTTAGGTTAGGTTAGGCTGAGAAGCTGTGACTGGTTTCGAACCTGAGTTTCCCAGATCCTAGGCCAACGCGTTAAGCACTACACCATGCTGGCTTCTGTCCAAAAGGCAACAGCCCACGAACTTTATGAATTACATGAAAGGAGGAAACTTGTCTCGGGGTTGGAGGAGCCCTTTTCGATTCTCTCTAAAGCCAGGTTTGCACTAAGATATTTTTTTAACAGGTTGGCACCATTTAATACAGGGGTGTCGAACTCATTTGTTACGAGGGCCAGATCTGACATAAATGAGACCTTGTTGGGCCGGGCCATGTGTGTCGTAAAATGTAATGCCAGGTAGCGGAGATATAAACTTTATAAAGGACACGAACACAAAGGTGGGGTTTTTTTTACTTAAAATAAAAACATGCTTAAAACATTCGCTCTGTAAGCTGCAAACGTACTTTTGATTTATTGACATTCACCACAGAAATCTCATGCTCAGAGTCTAGGACCCAGGGGAAAACATGAAATGGCTGAGTGATTAAGAGAGTATGGTGAAGCAAGCTATGATGCAGCAGGAGCAGCAGAACTGGAAGCAGGAGATGGCCAGTTCCACTGCAGGCCTGATGGAAGCCCTCCGGGGGCCTGAGCCAGCCCCCGGGCCGCATGTTTGACACCCCAGATGTAATATATATTTTAAAAAAGAGAAGGCGGGGGGAACTTAACCCAAACAAATGAATCAAGTACCTGAAAGGTAAGTTACATACAAAGTAAAGGACCAATGGCTAAAAACTACACTTATAACTTAATAATTATCAAAAATACACATATTTATTATCACCAGTTAGTTCAAAATAGTTAATGGGCCCGATTGTACCCTCAATACAGAATACAAGTGTACAACATACGCAAGTGGGACCTATTGGAACCAAAGCTCCCTCCAAGCTGTGGAGTCTTGTGAGCAAAAATTCTACTTTGTGAGCTACTGGCATTAAAGTACTGAGTAAGCGATTTGGCTCCTGCATTAATTAGTTTGCTCTGGGGAGCCATCCTTCCTGAGCTGAGACAAAAAGATGTGAGCCGGAGGCTAAAAAACTGTGAGCTAGCTCACACTCACTCAGTTTAGAGGGAACACTGATTGGAACCAGACACATTTCGGCCAAAGTGGCCTTCCTCAGTGGTCGAGCAATACTTGTACCAAATGGCTCAATGATACAATAATAAGACGATACGTTACTCAATGTAGGACCAAAACAGGAGTTTTATAGTTACCACCAATTGACGCAAGACCTGAGAATACTGGTGAAACCTCAGAGAGTATCGCCTTCCATCATTATCAGGTATATACGTCCTGAATAATATTACTGAGGAATTTCAGACAGACGATATAATCCGGAAGAGGAACGGTTCCCAAACGGTTTCTGGTCTGTCATTTCAGACAGAACTGTTTTAGAACCGGTTCCTTTCCGGAATATATTTGTAATTTCAGACACAAACGCTTCTGTCCTGTTTAGGAAACGGGGCTGAAGCGTTTTACCTGTCAACCACTTCCAAGTAGTCTTCAGTTTCCTCTCCCGGTTCCAATGCGCCTTTTCCCGCCGTTTTTCGCCCATGCGGGCGATCTCCGGCTCCCCCCCCCCCCGGAACATTCGCTTTATAACGCTATAGCGGAACAGCAGTATATCAACGCCATTGGAATGCCTGGAGTGCTTTGTTATAGTGCTATAGCGCTATAAAGCGAACATTCAAAAAAAAAAAGGTGGAGATCACCCGCGCGGACGAAAAACAGCGGGGGAAAAGCTGTGCAGTCTGAAATGGCAAGCTTCAGATCCAGCTCTTTACCGGAAGGGGAAAGCCATGTGTGAAATGGCAGCCCTATACTGGTTTACTCCATGACGGATCAAAAACGGCTTCAAAACGGGTTAAGAAGGGTAATGTGAAATTCCTCACTATTGTAAGCCTTTCTATTTTGGTCCAGAAGATACAATCGAATCAGAGCCAAAGTCCCACATTTTGTTCAACGCAGCCTGGTTTACAGTTGCGGGAGAACAAAGAGCAGAACACTGAAGAGGCAGAATGGACTGTGCCCCTTCAGCTGCCTTGAGCACCCTGTTGGTGGCGAGATGGAGGGGCAGGGTATAGACACCATACCAAAGAAATCAAAGCACTGCATGTGGAGGATCCCATTTTGGAACATGTCCTTGTGCTAAAAGCTCCCCGAAAGCAGAGAAGTAAACAGTTGTTCCCCTGCAAGGCTAGCTTTCCACTTGCGGGGAGGTTTTGATGGGAGGGAACATTCCAAGCAGTGATCTGCCACCTGCCGTGTGAAGCAGCGCAACCCACTCTACCACTCTCAACGCTCCCACCACTTTGGGTGCGCATCAGGCCTTGAGCAGGGTAACCAAAACATTTCAGAAGCAGATTAGGTTCTGCGCCTTTCCCTGAGTGCTTGTAGTGGTCAGAATCCTATTAGCCCAGGACTTTTCTCCCCAGTTAAACAAAGTACAATAACATGGATTACAGACCAAGTATTCACCATTTGAGAGGCAAGGGAGAATGCCCATTTCGTCCACAATGTCAAGTGCTTCAAGGAGGTAAAATATATATAAGGAGGTACTTTTATATACCCCACGTTACCCAGAGAGCACTGAGGTCGGGGTCTCAAAATTGTCTGGCCCTCCCTGGACTGAAAGGCACCAGACTGACCTCTACCAGGGCCAGGGCCTTCTCAGTGGCGGCTCCACACTGGTGGAATGAGCTCCCGGAAGACATCAGGGCCCTGCGGGACCTCCTACAGTTCTGCAGGGCCTGCAAGACGGAGCTCTTCCACCAGGCCTTCGATTAGGAGCCGCCACTGAGTATACACTGATAACACCTGAACAGCTAACATCTGAACTGTTAAGGCCCTCTATGTTAACTTGAACAATAACAGCCAGTGCCATATGACCTTAATTTTATCTGCATTTTTAATGTATTTATGATTGCCATATTTTGAATATTACGTTATTGCATTGTCTCAACGCATCTGTGTTTTAACGTATTTTAACCCACTGTAAGCCACCCTGAGCCTGCTAAGCAAAGAGGGCAAGATATAAATCGAATGAATGAATGAATGAATGAATGAATGAATGAATGAATGAATGAATGGTATCAGGTCAATGGAACCCATTCTATCGTCTCCTATGCCTCAGGCAGCAAACTGGTGTAGGATCTTCGTTTTGGGGGTTTTTTTTGCATTTTGTTTTACTGAAGAACTGAATCACAAATAAAAATTACTATTTTAGTAATATATACATACTTCTTACATCACAATCTCTTTTGTTCTTTATCGATGTACATATCCATTTTTAATTGCTTAAATAATCTACAATAAAAGCTTCTTTTTCTTTCTTTCCTCTCTTCAGTTCTTCTACCTTCTCAGTATTAACCTATGCTGCATTTTAAGTATTTTATGCAAAACTTTCCCACATAACCACAAAATTAAAACAAAATACACAGGCTGCATAGGATCTTCACGATGAGCGCGCGCACGCACACAAACACACACAATCTTTTCCATTTCACTCACCGGTGGGGAAGTTGTGGGTCTCAGCTGTGAAAATGACATGCCGAGTGGAAGTACGCTTCTCAAAGGGGCTGGAATGCGACGGGTCTCTGGGCCACAGTGAGAGGATCTCCTTGCCCTGGATTGCGCTGAAGGGGGAAAAAGTCACACAACTAATGTATACTCCAGGCCCAAGAAGCCACATGGCGACGAATATGTGAATCCGACCATTGGTCCATCAAAGTCAGTATTGTCTACTCAGACTGGCAGCATCTCTCCAGGAGCTCAGACAAAGATCTTTCCCATCACCTAACACTTTTTAATTGGAGATGACTTACTGAACCTGGGACCTTCTGCACGCCAAGCAGACGCTCTGCTACTGAGCCACAATCCCTCCCACTGGAAGGGCAGGGAGCCTTACGAATCACCATAGCAACCCCAATAAGCCTCCTCCTCCTCCTCCACGATGGAAACTGGGCACAGAGGATGCTGCAGGTGATCCGACCGACATGTCTTCAGCTCGCCAGGGAGAAAACCCACCTGCTGTTATCGCAGAACTTAATGACGTTGTTGGGGTTGCTGCGGTCCTGGGTTCTCATGATGGACTCAAAGAGGGACTCTTTGGCTTCCTGTCCATCCACCACGAGGCGGCCTTTGAAGAACCAGTGCCGGCTGTGTTCGCTGAGGAGAACGCAGAAGGGAAATATGAGCTACTCTGGACTTCCAGGGGAGCGGTAGATCAGGAACCCGCAAGGTGGTACCTGCCGACACCTCTCCGGGAACCTACCAAGCACTTTTGGAAAGTGGGCGGGGCCAGGTGGGGCTTTGGCCTAGCAAGGTTTCTGATTGGCCACTGGAGATTTGAGTGGCTGTGCGGGTTTTTAAAAACACTACTTTGGCATTTTTATATCGTTATCAGGCGACTGAAGGTAAGCCACGCCCCCATTTTGTAGCTGGCTCCGCCTTCAGCAGCAGCCATTTTTTGTCAGCTTGTAGCAAGAACTCCTTTGCATATTAGGCGAACACACCCCTAATGTAGCCAATCCTCCAAGCCCCTGTAAGAAGAGCTCTGTAAGATCTTGGAGGATTGGCTACATTAGGGGTGTGCCACCTAATATGCAAAGGAGTTCCTGCTACAAAAAGAGCCCTGGCGCTGTTTTGTGGCTGTTTCCACCACCTTGTGTCAGAATTCCAAAAGGTGCCTAAGATTGGGGAACCTTGAGGTAGATGGTGGTTTTAACTCAGCTTTCAGGTCTCACACCTGATTAGTGTTAAGGACTTTGGGAATGATAGGCGACCCTGTCTAAAGTTATTCCCAAGGCAGTTCAGCCTTCGACAGATCTGGTCGTTTTTCATGTAGCCTGCCTTTGACGGATTTTATGCTGCTTTTATTTGGTTGTCTGTTTTACATCTTGAATGCCTGTCAGATTTCGCCTTATTATTTTAAATCAGACCTCCAAACCGCAGGGGTAAAGGTAAAGGTTCTCTTGCTCGAAAGCCAGTCGAGTCCGACTCTAGGGTTGCGGTGCTCATCTCCGTTTCAAAGCCGAAGAGCCAGCGCTGTCCGAAGACGTTTCCGTGGTCATGTGGCCAGCATGACTAAACACCAAGGTGCACGGAACACTGTTACCAGGGCTGGATTTAGACTTGCTGAGGCCCTAAGCTATACAAAACCCAGAGGCCCCCTACTGTTTTAAATTACATCAGCTGGTCTCAGAAAAATTTAAAATATATACGCCTTTTTAATATTTGAAATCACTTTTTATATTGTGTTTTTATTCGAGGCCCAGGCAGATTGCGAGGCCCTAAGCTGTAGCTTATTTAGCTTATGCGTAAATCCGGCACTGACTGTTACCTTCCCACCGAAGTGGTACCTATTTATCTACTTGCAATTTCTTGCTTTCGAACTGCTCGGTTGGCAGGAGCTGGAACTAGAGACGGGAGCTCACTCCGTCATGCGGCACACTCGGGTCTCGAACTGCTGAACTACTGACCTTCCACAGCCTGCAGTTCAGCGTCGTACCTCCTTGTAATTTGTTTTCCAGACTTGTGAAGAAAACTGCATGGAAAGAGCTAAAATGTGCTCTTTGTGGCTTGTTTAATGATGGGCCATTCTCACATATTTCTGATTTTCTCGTGCTACCTTGACTTCGTGAGGCACATGGAGAAAGTCTCCATAAAGTATAAATTTACTACATAAATGCATTCAGTTTCTAAGTGTGGACCACGTATGTGTGTAAAGTGTCGGACTACGTGTGTAAAGTGTCGGACTAAATGTTGGACTATGCGTCTGACTCGTGGTGACCTCCCCGTTGGGTTTTCAAGGCGAGAGACTAACAGAGGTGGTTTGCCATTGCATAGTGACGCTGGCATTCCTTGGTGGTCTCCCATCCAAATACTGACCAGGGCTGACCCTGCTTAGCTAGCCTGGGCCATCCAGGTAAGGGCAGAACACTGGACTAGGATCTGGGAAACCCCGGTTCGAATCCCCACTCTGCCATGGAAGCTTGCTGGGTGACCTTGGGCCAGTCATAGACTCTGAGCCTTGGCCATGTTGTACTTTTTCTTCTTTTTATGCCAATAAAGGTATCTGGGTTGGATTGGACTCTGAGCCTAACCTACCTCATAAGGCGGTTGTGAGGATTAAATGGAGAAGAAAATAACACAGGCCACTGTGGGTCCCTACCGGGGAGTAAGGCAGGGTACAAATGCAGTCAATCAATCAATAAAGTTTAGAGCAAAGCAGGATACCTGTTTGACTGGGCAAGGTCAAAGCACTCCACACTGGTGGGATTCCTGCCAAGTTTCTGGAAAAGGCTTGTGTAGAAGTCCAAATCCCAGGAATCAAAGGCCAGCCCTGCAAGACCAAGGAGGAGTGTTTGTGCAACTGATACAGCTACCTTTGCTCTTCGATATATCCCTTTCTTTCTCTTCTGTGTCCCACCAGCCACAAAGAGTACGGAGATCAGGACAAAACAGGATTCTGCTTTCAGGGTAGCCTTCTTCACTGCAGTGTCTACCTGTGACTGGCAGATATGGAGTTAGCCCAACCACGCCTGGCCCTTTAAGGCCTAGACAGAGTTCCTCCCTCCCTACATGGGGCTTTTCGACTCACAAAAGTAGGAGAAAGATGAAGGCTGGAACGTGAGGAACTCTTTGCTAAGGCTGTACCCGCACCATAGTTAAAAGAAATGTTCCAGTTTGGCACTGCCCACCTCACCTCAATGACTAGGAGCCAAACCACGTGAGTAGCAGGATCACATGACACAACTCGTGCTAGGCCTACCCTACTTCAGACTGTAAGCAGAGCTGCATCCTTAATGTTCCCTTCCTTACACACATGTGCCTAATCACACAGTTCCGTCGTTTTCAGCCTGAAAGGGTTCAGTCCAGGGCTCTTTCTGTAGCAGGAACTCCTTTGCATATTAGGTGACACACCCCCTAATGTAGCCAATCCTCCAAGAGCTTACAGTAGCTCCTGTAAGAATAGCTCTGTAAGCTCTTGGAGGATTGGCTACATTAGGGGTGTGTCTCCTAATATGCAAATGAGTTCCTGCTGCTAAAAGAGCCCTGGTTCAGTCCAACAAAAACGGTATCCCCCGTCTCTGCAGACTGCGTAGCTTGGCTCAGACAGTCCCGGCAGGACTCCCCTCTCACATCTTAACTTATCCAACCAACAGTTTCACCCACCACACGCTCAGGGCACAGTCTTCTAGCTTGGGCCACCTCTAGCCATCTCGTTCTTGCGGCCTCATGTTTATTTGCTCGCTTACAACATTTGCATCCCACCTGTCTGCCCTTACAGGGGGCCACAAACAAAACAAAAAAGTCTTCGCTCACTGGTGGACAGAAGGGGGCGGAGGAATCCCCCTGGGGAGACAGTTCCAGAGCCTTGGTGCCATGCCCAAGAAGGCCCTAGAGATGTAAAATTTCCAGAAATTTTGAAGCTCGGAAAAAACCCCGTCTTTTCTAGGATTGAAAGTCATTCTGTTACTTTAGGAACATAAAATATGACTATGGACATTTTTGCTTGGCATGAAATTATCACAACTAGCATATTAAAAATATAGTGTGTCCAAACAATTGTTTCAAACAGAATACCCACCCCCATGCAAAAACAAAACTGAAACCTTTTAATTTTCTTCTGACAATCGCACCTCCTAAAGGAAGAAATGCATCTTGTTCTTGCATTGGAGGGTTCAGTTTGTAGCCTAGGACTCGCTTGTCCTCAGTGCACAGAAATTAGATCAATCTGATACCATACATATATATTTTAGAAATGATTTGGAAAATGTTTGAACGCCTTGTCTTAAAATATTTTATTCATCATGTTAAAATAAAATGTTCCATAATCATTTCCCCCCCCCCTTTTTTTCCCTTTTTTCAATTTTTCCAATTTTTCGGAAAAAAACAAAAAGGCTTCAGGAGAAAAACGGGAAAAAACATTTTTTCCCCGAATTTTTTCGGGTTTTTTCCGGGCCTTCACACCCTCATCTCGGAAGGCAGGGGGACCTGCAACAGGGCCTCCAAAGATGGCCGTAGGGGTCAGGTAGGTTCATACCCAGTTGGTTGTTGGCCTTCATCAGGGCGGCTCTCCCTTCTCCTAGAATGTCAACATGGAACACCGGCTCAGGGTGGACGGCTACGGCAAAGCTACTAATGGGCTCTGGATAGCACTGTTCAGTCATCCGGTCATGTAGGGAAGCGACGAGGCAGGCCTCCTGAGACGATGAGGGGCGCTGGTCACACTGAAAGTCAAAAGTGAATCCAACGGTCGACGCTTAATCAACAAGCCACAGAGAGAGCGGGAAGTGGAAACTCCCGTCAAGGAACGTTTGTGAGGAGATTAGATTGACACTCACCTTGATGAGGTAGCGACAAGAACACTCGATCCTGTCAACTGTTTCCAGTCCAGCCGCCCGACACACCGATACAGCGTTCGTGGACGCCGCCGTGGAGAAGTTCAATCTGCAATCACCCAAAATCCACTTAACGCTGCATGTGAATGAAATTTTGAACTCTCTCTGGCGTGCACGTGCTCTCAAAAGCCCTTCCACTATAAGACACAGGTCAACGTACTACAGGGGTCAGAATGGAACCAGCAAGACATGGTTCCCCACTCAGCTAGGGAACCAGCAAGACATGGTTCCCCACTCAGCTAGGAAGCTCAGCTTAGTCCCGTCATGCTCTCTCAGCCCAACCTACTTCACAGGATTGTTGTGAGATAAACCGGAGGAAGGGGGAATCATGCAGCTTATCCCGAATGTCTTGGAGGAACAGCAGGGTAAAATGCAATGGGCAAATACAATAGATGTTCCCCCAAGAGCACTACAATCGGGGACCTCCCATCTCCTGGTAGTTCCAGGTCCCCGAGAGATCAAGTTTGCCCCTACTAGGGCCAGGGCATTTTCGGTGGCGGCTCCTACCTGGTGGAATGAGCTCCCAGATGAGATCTGGGCCCTGCGGGACCTTATGCAGTTCCGCAGGGCCTGTAAGACGGACCTCTTCTGCCGGGTGTTTGAGTAGGCCCCGCCCCCGCCACTATCCTACCAACGAGGTAGTGTGCCATCAGCAGCCCTGTTAAAGGGGGACTGGCCCGGCCTGGTAGAACAGCGTAGCAGGAGACCGCGTTGCCAAGAGAGCTGGCCATCAAATTTAGGTGGTTGTCCCATCTTGGAAGATTAAATATAGGCTCAGCACCGTGTGATAGGATGGTTTTATTTATTGTGTCTTAAATATGTAATTTATTATATGTTTTATTGTATTTTACTCTGGCTTTGCCATATGTAAGCCGCCCTGAGCCGTTGGGAGGGCGGGGTATAAATAAAAAAATAAATTAATTAAATAAATAGATGAGGGGTCCCCAACACCATGTCTACGGGAGCTGTGGCACCTTTCCTGGTGCCCACCAAATGTTTTTAGAAAGTTGGCAGGGCCAAATGAGACTTTTACCCAGTAGGGCTTCTGACTAGCCATTAGAGATGTGACTGGCTGTGCAGATTCTTAAACAGCGGCTTTGGCAGTAGCTGCCATTAGAATACCCTCTGCATGAAAGAAAACATTTTGAACGCAATATGTTCATTTCAAAAGGCCTCCTGTGAAACAGAGCTTCTGCCTGAAATGTTGACGAGTCACTATCAGTCGTGCATAACCTCACCCCTTGACAGTTGTATGGTCGGCTTCACACACACACACCTCCCAGTGCATGCTAGAATTCCAAACGTGCCTGAAGGGTCAAAAAGGTGGGGGATCCCACAATAGACAGTGCAGGGTTCTTTCAGCATCTTGACTTACCGGGGTCCAATTTCTATCAGCAGATCCGAGGCGGATGGGCTGAGGAAGGTTTGGGTGGCAATGTCCCCATCTTCGAAGGGGCACCCAAAGATCCACTGCAGCAACTCAGTCGCACTGGAACCTGGGAGTGCTTCCCCTGATGGCGAAACAGAGAGAAATGACGCCACTGTTACCCATAAGCCAACAGGCAAATGACCCAACATTCCCACAAAGTTTTTCCTCACCCAAAGAGTAATTAACATGTGGAACTCAGTGCCGCAGGAAGTGGTGGCAGCTACCAGCATAGACAGCTTCAAGAGTTGATTAAATAAACATATGAAGCAAAGATCCATCAGCGGCTATCAGCCACAAGGTATAGATGGAACACTATGTCTGGGGCAGTGATGCTCTGTGCTTGGGGGGGGCAAAGTAGGAGGGCTTCGGGAGTTCTGGCCCTGCTGGTGGACCTCCTGGTGGGACCAGGGTTTTGGCCACTGTGTGACACAGAGTGTTGGACGGGATGGGCCACTGGCCTGATCCAACATGGCTTCTCTTCTGCTCTTCTGTGGAAAGAGACAGGCTGCCCAGTGCCACTCCACTTTCCCACACAAAATCCAATCACTCACCCCGTTTTATACCAGACACCAATCTAGTCCCACGTTTGTACCTGTCCAGTTAACGTTAAAGCACAACTCCCGCTGTACGGCTTGGACGCCATCACCCAAGGCAGTTTGGGCTGTGCGCAGAAGGCTGCCGATACTGCTGTCCGTCTTGCTGGGCCGCTTGTAATAATGCAGTATCACCATGGTCCTACAGGGAGAGAATGGCAGGGGGCTGTCAAGGATGAGGGTTTAGAAAAAGGTCCACCATTTTGCTGGAAAAGGAGACAGAAGGAACCTTGAGGCTATTGGGGGCAAGCAGTTCCGTTTCTCAGGAATAAGAGCGCCAGGTTAAATACAGAGGACCCTGATGCCGCAGGACGGACATACAGCAGGCATGTCAGAGAAATATCAGTGTATGAGACTTAGAGGTGGAACACTCGTTTTGCATGCAAAATGCAGCCTACCAGCCCTCGGCAGCCATCCCTGGCATCTCTGGTTATAAGATTTGGGAAAGACCTTTCTCTGTCTGAGACCCACCACCAGTCAAAGAGAACAATACGGATTTAAGACAGGGCAACGGTCCAACTGCATGCAAAGCATCCTATGTTCAACAGGCCTGTGATCCAGTGTTTAGAAGAAACAGGCAGTACGGTGTGTTTAGTACCTGCTTCGCTTCTATAGGGAGGGAGGAAATGCTAAACATGAGCCTGCAGTGCGATGTGGCTGTGAAGAAAGCGAATGCAATCTTAGGATGCATTCACAGAAGCCTTGTGTCCAGATCACGGGAGGTGGTCGCTCCGCTCTATTCTGCTATGGTCAGGCCTCACCTGGGGTCCTGTGTCCAGTTTTGGGCAGCACATTTTAGGAAGGATGTTGACAAGCTCGAGCGTGTCCAGAAGAGGGCAACCAGGATGGTGAGAGGGTTGGAATCCAAGTCTTATGAGGAAAGGCTGAAAGAGTTGAGTCTGTTCAGCCTGGGAAAGGGAAGGCTTAGAGGGGACATGATTGCAGTCTTCAAGTATTTGAAGGGCTGTCATGTAGAAGATGGAGCAGATCTATTCTCTCTTACTCCGAATTGCAAGACTCGATCTAATGGGTGGAAATTACAAGAGAGTTGTTACCGGCTAAATATCAGGAGAAACTTCCCAACTGTAAGAGTAGTTGAGCAGTGGAACAGACTGCCTCGGGAGGTGGTGGATGCTCCTTCGCTGGACGTTTTCAAGCGGAGGCTGGACGACCATCTTTCGGGGATGTTGTAGGACTATCTTTCGGCTATGCTCCTGCAGAGTGCCGGGGGTTGGACTAGATGACCTGCAAGGCCCCTTCCAGCTCTAACGTTTTATGATTCTATAAAATGTTATTACATGAATAAGCCCCCCCCCCGGGGGGATCATTTCGATCAGGGGTCCCCAACATGGCGCCCAAGGGCACCATGGCACAAACCAAGCGTTTTTAGAAAGCGGGCAGAGCCAAGGGGGTCCTACCAAGCAGGGGTTCTGATTAGCCACCGGAAAGCTGGCTGGCTGTGAAGATTAAATTAACATCGTTTCGGCTGTAGCTATCTCTGCCGTGTTGGTTTCATTCTCCTCTTGCCCTCTGTGTGTGCCCAGAGGATTGAAATGGCTGGAGACCCCTCGTGTAGATCCTCTATACCCCAAGGTACCTTTCTCCAGTCACAAAGCACCATACGCAAGGGACATCAGGCCGAAGAACTGGCAATCTGCTACAGCAAAAATTCAGCTGGCAATCTGCTAGAGCAAAAACTCAGCCGGAGGACCAAGGTCAGTGCCCTGTCAATCGTTTCTCCTTCTTGCTTCATCCAGGTCATGTTTAGGAAAGATCCCTCTATTTTCCCTCTTGCCAGTTCGTGTACGTAGCTTACCATCCATCCAAAGTACACTGCTAGGGATTTGTTCATAGTTCTGCAAACTGTTGCTGTTCTGTTGAAGTCGCCCTTGGTGCAGGCTGTGCCCGCACACACACACGTACGTCACTGGATGTTGCGTTATCACTGTGCTGGAACAGCCTTTGCTACTGGATTCTCCCATCTGGACAAGCCAGTCCAGCTGCGAACGACTGCCATGTTGTCATGACAGCCCAGCATTCTAGGGCGAGCAAATGCAGTCCAAGTTCCCTCGATGGCAACAGCATCCAAGTTAGTTGCAAGTCAGCGTGATGCTTTGGCTAGAGATCCAGGTTCGAATCCCCACTCTGCCGTGGAAATTGCGGGGTGACTCTGAACCAGCCATGCACACTTAGCCTCATCTATCTCACAGGGTTGTTGTGAGGAGACAATGAAGGAGGAAGATAACTTTGTAAGCCCCCTTTGGGTTAGTGTTGGCAAGAAAAGTGGGGTGCAAACAAAGTAAGTAAACAACAGAAAATAAAATCTGTTCCACTAACTTCAATCCTAAATGGAGTTAGACCAGTGGTGGCGAACCTATGGCACGGGGGCCAGAGGTGGCACTCAGAGCCCTCTCTGTAGGCACGCGTGCCATCGCCCCAGCCAGGCCCAGACCATCATTAAAGTGTCAAATTCTCTGCCAAATAATTTTAAGTAAATGAAAGCATTTGGGATTGCTTTCCTAACTTTGTTTGGATCATCTTAAGTTAACGTATGAGTTGTTTTTTCTAAAGTAAAACCTCAGTATTCAGGTCAAATTGCCGTGTTGGCACTTTGCGATAAATAAGTGGGTTTTGGGTCGCAGTTTGGGCACTCGGTCCCTAAAAGGTTCGCCATCACTGAGTTAGACCATTGAAGGCAAATGACTTAGAAGGGTATAACTTTGTTTAGGATTACTTGTCATGATTAACTTCAGATGGACTGGGACATCCATACATACAAAGAGTGCAATAAGAGGGGGGAAACACCTGTTTTCCTAAGCAAATGAGCAGTGGATTCCTGCATTTGTCAACATACCCATTATATCGTGATCCATAGCAGGGAGATATAATTGCAGACCTGCATTTCTGTGCAGTGGACCTACTCTCGATGGACTTTGTGCGAACAGGTCCTTCCAGGCTCTACTGAACCTTCACACAACCCTCAAGACCTTTTCGGTGGGCTCAGCTCAAAATATTCCGTTGCCAATCCCCAAGCGCCGCTACACCCACTGTGCACGTGTGAATCTCGGCATCACAACAAAGGGGCATTGAGATCCGTGTAAAGACGCGCGTTCCCTACGTGGCCACGCTACACATCTGCGCCCCCGTTGAGCGTCACTCTTTACACGGATGTGATTTCCATGCAAGGAAAGGTAATGTCTGAACGAGCCGGGCCTTCCCTCTTCTCCTTTCCTAGGAGGCTGCAGCTCTGCTGTCCGAAAGAAATTTTTCCCATGGAGACCTAGTCTGGCGTGGCAGAAACCGATCCCAGAAGCCCAGCTCCTCAGGGACCAATGTTCCCTCTAAGCTGAGTTAGTGTGATCTAGCTCACTTTTTTTTTTAGCCTCCGGCTCACAATTTTTTGTCTTAGCTCCGGCAGGATGGCTCCAGAGCAGTGTTCCCTCTAAGCTGAGTTAGTGTGAGCTAGTTCAGTTTTTTAGTCTCCAGCTCACAGATTTTTGTTTTAGCTCAGGAAGGACAGCTCCAGAGCAAATTGATTTATGGCAGGAGCCAAATTGCTTGCTCACAACTTTAATGCCAGTAGCTCACAAAGTAGAATTTTTGCTCACAAGACTCCACAGCTTAGAGGGAACATTGCTCCAGAGCAGACTAACTTATGCAGCAGCCAAATCGCTCGCTCGCAACTTTAATGCCAGTGGCTCACAGAGTAGAATTTTTGCTCACAGGACTCCACAGCTTAGAGGGA